GGTTATTTGGTAACTGGATAAAGCTACTCCCTTCGTCTAAAAATAGTTGTCAACTATATTATTTTAGAATGTCTAACAATACTTATCTACTTTATGATATCAATAGATAATTTTACACTTAGTTTCTAATTTACCGTTATCATTAATTCTAGTCATTTCTTTATTACATTTTGTAATCATTTAAAATTTATTTAAATATAAATTTATTAAAATGATTCGGATTATATTAAATTCATTAATATATTAGTCCAAATAAATATTATGGATTGATATAATTGAGTTAATCATTTAAATTCAATAAATATAAATTTAATTAAAGTCCGCTCCATAAAGCCCATATGCCATGTCACTTAAATTTGATTGGCCGAAGAGAATCTTATTCTAATCACAACTCCCCTATTCTAAAACTATAAATAGGGGTCTTCATAATTCAGAAAAGAGAACGAAGAATTCGAACAAGAAGCTAGAGAAAGCTCGTGGATCAAAAGCCGCAATTTCTCTACAAGTTTGAGAATTCGAGAATTCAAGTGTTCAAAGTTCAAGATTTGAAGAAGTCAAGATCAAGTTCAAGAACGATCAAGTTCAAGAACGATCAAGATCAAGACCGCCGGATTCAAGATCAAGCTCGAAGCCCTTGAATTCAACTAGAAAGTCAAGATCAAGATAAAGTTCAAGTCCAAGATCAAGATAGAGATCAAGATCAAGTCCAAATCCAAGATCAAGATCATGATAGAGATCAAGATCGAGATAAATCCCAAGTTCAAGATCAAGCTCAAGAGCCCTTGAATTATATTTGAAAAGGTGAATTCAGAGGAATTATAGAGATTGTAACAGTCGCACTTGAAATAATAAAACGATTGTTGCATAATTTTTTTCGTTCTTGATTATTGTTTTCTCGACACGAATTTTATTGTCTACAAATTCTGGCACGCCCAGTGGGACAATCTCTACCTCTCATCCCAACTTTTCAAGCATCAAACAACATCGAGATGACTTCCATGAAGAACAACTCTCGATCAACTACCTCTAAGGCCACTAGCTCCAAGTTCTCAACTGAAGTTGAAGGCATTCTTGATGTTACCTTTGGAAGTTTCGGAGCTGTTACGAGAAAAAAAGCTGCTACACTAGGACAACAAACACTGCAAGTGTCGTCTGCATCAACTCCTGTTTTTGGGTCTTCAACTCCTAAAAGAGCAAGTTCCTCCACAAACGCTTTAGAAGGAGGAAGCAGTGTTGCTAAAAAGATTAAGAAGACATTAGCTCTCCTTGAGCAATCTGGTTCCAAGAACTCTACCACAAGGGAGAGCTATGATTCAATGAATGAGTCACCTCCACGTGCATCGCGTAATGTGAGTCTGCTGAAGATCAACTTACGCGACAATCCATGCTACTCTCCTACATCTCCAATGATCATGCAAACAATGGTGGCTGCTACTTCTTCCTCTGACGAACAACTCGCAAATCTGACGAAGTTGGTTGAAGGATTTACAAAGCATGTACAACACCAAGAGTCTAGAATCAATAAGTTGATGGATCGAATGGAAGGACTTTCAGATGGAGAAGCGAGCCATGCGCCTGGAAAGGGTGTTGAAGTTCAAGTGATTGAAGATCCTGTGAAGAAAGCACCGCTTGTTAATGAGATACCAGTTTCTTCTGAAGGAATGATCCCACTCGATCGCTTGAAGGAGTTCATTGAAGGCACTATCAAAGATAAGTATGAAGTCTCCACCAAGTCTTCTCATATGTATGCCAAGCCATACACTGCAAGAATTGATAACTTAAAAATGTCTGTTGGTAATCAACTTCCCAAATTTCAACAATTTGAGGGTAGAGGAAATCCGAAGCAACATGTTGCACACTTTGTGGAGACATGTAATAATGCTAGAACATATGGAGGCTATCTTGTCAAGCAGTTTGTCCGGTCTCTAAAAGGAAATGTCTCTGATTGGTACACAGATCGTGAACCCAATTCTATTGATAGTTGGGAGCAACTAGAGCACGAGTTTCTCAATTGATTCTATAGCACGAGGCGTACTGTGAGCATGGTATAACTTACGAATACTCTCCAAAAGAAGGATGAACCAGCCATAGACTTCATAAATCGATGGAGGAACGTGAGCCTGAATTGCAAGGATAGGCTTAGTGAAGCTTCTGCAATAGAAATGTGTATCCAAGGGATACACTGGGAGCTTCTTTATATCTTACAGGGAATAAAACCAAAATCCTTTGAAGATCTAGCTACTCGCGCTCATGATATGGAGTTGAGCATGTCCTCTGCCGAAAAGGATATGACGTTTATCCATGACCCTCGCAAAGGAAGAGACAAGCAGGAACCTAAGAGATGGAGCAAATTTATGCCCAAGAACGACAACAAAGAGTCAATGAATGTTAATATGTCGCCTGTGAAGTTCACTAAGAAGGAAGGGAAGAAGCAAAGTGTGAGAACGAATTTCCAAGCGCTTTCAAACCAAAAATCGATCCTAAGGGAAATGCAAGAAAAGGAATACCCCTTCTTGGATTCTGACGTTTCTGATATTTTTGATGAATTGCTTGAATTAAAGCTCATTGAGTTGCCGGAGATGAAGCGACCTGATGAAGCTGGAAAAGTTGATGACCCAAATTATTGCAAGTATCATAGACTTGTGAGTCATCATCTTGAAAAATGTTTTGTCTTCAAGGATAGAGTGATGCGATTGGTTAGAGAAAAAAAGATTGTCCTTGATGATGAGAAAGCTAGTTCTAATCAAATCTCCATCACATTCAGCTCGCTCGATCCGGTCCAAATATGTATCGCAGAAAAGCATGGAGAAGAGTCATTGGAGCTAGACAAATCTCAAGTTGATATAGATGGTGATGAAGGTTGGATTCTTATGACTAGGTGAAGACGCAACAGGTCGAGCTTACGAAAAGAATCATGTGCTCAACCGATTAGAAAGAAGATGGTGAAGAAACTGGCAAAGCATAAATCAATAAAGCGCCCAAAGAAGGCAAAGGTAGAAGTGCATCACTACCAGAAACCCCGACATCCTGTAACTCTACAAGAATTCTTACCAAGTTGGTTGCGCACAAAGTCTACTCAAGAAAATGTTGAGTCATCATGTTTTAATGTTGATAAAGAAGAAACAATGAAGGTGTCTCCAACTGACAAAGAAGGAACAACAAGAGAATCCTCATCAAAAGTGCTTCTAGTGGCGAAGAAAATGCAACAAGGGAAATCTCGTCAATGATTTCTCCTTCACCTTCTGAAAAGCCTATTGAACCTTCTTCCCAAGAAGTATATACATGTGATACAAAAATCACATTCACAGATAATGATCTTCTATTTGGTGAAACACTACACAATCGTCCTTTGTATATGGTTGGTCACGTGCTAGAGAAGAAGATAAATAGAATCTTGATAGATGAAGGATCTGGAGTCAACATTATGCTTATCCACACATTGAAGGAATTCGGCATCACGACCGAAGAACTTAGTAAAAGTCGTTTGTTGATACAAGGATTCAATCAAGCAGGACAGAGGTCCATGGGCTCCATTAAATTAGAAATCCACATAGAAGATTTGCGATCAAGCGCATGGATGCACGTGATCGATGCAAAGACTTCATACAATATATTACTTGGCAGGCCTTGGGTACACGAGAATAAAATTGTCTCATCTTCTTACTATCAATGTTTGAAGTATCTTGAAGATGGGATTGAAAGAAAGATAGTTGCAGATGATAAATCCTTTCACCGAAATTGAGACGCACTTTGCCGATGCAAAATTCTATTTGAAGAGTTATGTTGTTAAAGGGACAAAATCTAATGATGTCAAATCAACCAAGTCTGACAAAATCACAAGCAAAAGAATCGATACGGCTGTCGGAAAGGCAAAAGTTGACACTATAGAACTTTGTCCTAATCTCAATGAAGGGAAGACCATGTCTTCAAAGAAGAATTTGACTTCTGGACTTCGCTATGTTCCAAAAGTAAAGAAAGAAGAAGTCAAATCATCTAACCTTCAAGAAGATGCATTAAGAGGACTAACTCTTCCTATCAGACGGATTGATGCAATAAACTTGCCTTCAAAGCTACCAGGAAAGACAATCGCTCAAAATCAAGTGTGAGATGTGGCACTCCCTACAAAACGCACGGGAGAAGGTTTTGATCCTAATACTTACAAGTTATTTATGAAGGCTGGATATAACCCTAATGAGCCATCAATGTTAGGGAAACTCCCGTCAGTTGATAAAACCAGGCAAGCACATGAAGGCATAGGCTATAACCAACCACCGCCAGTTTGCATCTCCATAAGAAGACGAAGCAATAATCATATAACTTTTGAAGATAATGTCACTGCTCCCAATAGAAAACCTTCCATTTTTATCGACTTACAGAATCGATTGCAAGAACTTCTGTGTTCGAGAGATTAGGTCCATTGAAGAAGAGAAACAATAAGCATCGGAGAAGCTATCTAAAAGTGACAACGCTGGCTTCATCTATGATCCAAAAGGATTTCAAAAATTTGATTCCTTCTAGAATGAGGCGACGAGTGGAACTTGTGGTTTCGTGTAAAGAGGAACTCAAGGCAAAGGCTCATACTGTGGTTTACACCAAGGAGCGCGAGGAAGATGAAGAAAGTGTAGGCTTTTCATATCATGTTACAATCCAGAATGAGCACGATTCTTTGCCTCAAATGAGGATTGATGAAGAGTTAGAAGATATTGTTTGGTGTTGTCATATATCTATCAATGACAATGACCCTCTAGAAAAGGAGGATGATGGAGATGTTCCACCAGAACTTGAAGAAGGAGTGAAGACCACAATAGATCCCTTAAAGGAAGTTAACCTTGGCACTGATGAAGACCCAAGGCCTACTTACTTGAGTGTCTTTGTAGAAGTTGATGAAGAAATCACTTATATGAATATACTCAAAGAATATAGGGACGTCTTCGCTTGGAGCTATAAAGAAATGACTGGCTTGAATCCTAAAGTAGCAGTCCATTAGTTGGCAGTCAAAAATGGTGCTCGTCTTGTTAAGCAAGCCCAATGACGTTTTAGGCCAGACTTGGTTCCATTGATAGAAAATGAAGTCAACAAACTCATTGAGGCAGGATTCATTCGTGAAGTTAAATATCCTACATGGATTTCAAGTATTGTTCCTGTAAGGACGAAGAATGGCCAAATTCGAGTTTGTGTTGACTTCAAGGATCTCAATAATGCATGTCCTAAAGATGAGTTCCCTTTTCCCATTCCTGAGCTAATGATTGATGCCATCACTGGTTATGAGGCGATGTCATTCATGGACGGTTCTTCTGGCTATAATCAAATCCGCATGGCACCAAAAAATAAAGAACTCACCGCATTTCACACGCCTAAAGGTATTTATTGCTACAAAGTGATGCCTTTCGGTTTGAAGAATGTTGGTGCTACGTATCAAAGGGCTATGAAAAATATATTTGATGACTTACTCCATAAAAATGTTGAATGTTATGTGGATGACCTGGTGGTAAAGTCGAGAAAGAGGAGTGATCATTTGAAAGACTTAAGAATGGTGTTTGAGCTTTTTCAAAGATATCAACTAAGGATGGTATGCCTTTGGAGTTACTTCTGGAAAGTTCCTTGGCTTCATTGTGAGACATCGAGGAATTGAACTAGATCAAGCCAAAGTTGATGCATTATCGAAGATGCTTGAGCCTCGAAATATTCATGAGTTAAAAAGTCTCCAAGGAAAGCTAGCCTACTTGAGGAGGTTCATCTCAAATCTAGTAGGACGATGCCAACCATTCGGTCATCTCATGAAGAAAGGTGCTCCTTTTAATTGGGACGAAACATATAGCGATGCCTTTAAAAGTATCAAGTCGTATCTAGCGAAACCTCCAATTTTGGCAGCCCCTATACCTGAAAAGCCATTGATACTCTACATTGCGGCACAAGAAAGATCCGTACGAGCCCTGTTAGCTCAAGAGAATAGTGAAGGCAAAGAAAACTCTATTTATTACTTGAGTAGAACGATGACACCAAATGAGCTGAACTATTTGCCAATTGAAAAATTGTGCTTGGCACTAATCTTCTCAATTCAAAAGATGAAGCATTATTTTCAAGCACATGTTGTTCGTCTTATTTCTAGAGCAAATCCCATCAAGTTTGTTATGTTGAAACTTGTCCTTAGTGACCGACTAGCAAGATGGTAGCTCCAATTTCAATAGTTTGAGATCGTGTACATCCTTCAAAAAGCTGTGAAAGGACAAGCATTGGCGGATTTCTTGGCAGACCATCCGATACCAGATGATTGGGAGTCAACTGATGAGCTTCCTAATGAAGATGCAATGTTAATTGAAGTTCAACCTCCTTGGAAAATGTACTTTGATGGAGCTGCACATCGTGGCGGAGCTGGTGTTGGCGTAGTGTTCATCACTTCACAAGAAGAGATCCTACCATTCTCCTTTACTTTGAAGCAATGTTGCTCCAATAATGTTGTTGAATACCAGGCATTGATACTTGGAATTGAGATGGTCGTTGACATGAAGCAATTAAACTTACAAGTCTTTGGTGACTCTCAGTTGGTGATCAACCAACTCTTGGGAAGTTATGAGGTGAAAAAGCCCAAATTGCATCCTTACCATGATTATGCTCAAAAGTCGATAGGATGTCTTGGAGATGTAATCCTTTAACATGTGTGTAGAACGGAGAATAAGAAAGCCGATGCATTGGCTGTTCTAGCTTCAACGATATCCCTTCCTGATCAGACACAAGTGACTATTTGTCAAAAATGGATAGTACCACCGTCAAATGAGGAAAAATGTATAGAAAATGAGCTTAATCATCTCGTCGTCGTTTCTGAAGCCGCGTGAAGAGTGGAGACAACCCATTATTGACTACATGTATTATGGGATACTTCCAGAAAATCCAAGGAGAAAGACTGACATTCATCGTCGTGCACCTCACTTCCTTTACTACAAGGACACATTATATAAAAGATCATTTGAGGGTGTACTATTACGATGTTTGGGAGAGGAAGAAGCAATTCAAGCTTTGCAAGAAGCACACTCAGGAGTATGTGGATCACATCAATCTGGACCGAAAATCCACTTTCACATAAAGAGGATGGGGTATTATTGGCCAACCATGGTGAAGGATTGCTTAGATTATGCTCGGAGGTGCGATGCTTGTCAATTTCATGCGAATTTCATACTTCAGCCGCCCGAAGTATTGCACCCAACTATTGCATCTGGGCAATTTGACGCTTGGGGATTGGATGTTGTGGGACCACTACCAAAATCTTCTGGTGGACACTTGTACATCTTGGCTGCAACAGATTACTTCTCAAAATGGGCTGAAGTTGTCGCTCTTAAAAAAGTGAAGAAAGAGAATGTTGCAAATTTTATCCGATTGAATATCATTTATCGCTTTGGCATCCCTCGCTACATAATAAAAGACAATGGCAAGCCATTTGATAACAAGTTAATGAACAAAATTTGTGATCTTTTTGGTTTCAAGCAGCGTAAATCTTTTATGTATCATGCTGCCGCCAATGGTCTCGCATGAAAGAATGGAAGAAGTTTTGTGGGCATATAGGACGACGTACCGCACTCCAACTCAAGCGACACCATATTCACTCGCTTTTGGTGTTGAGGCAGTCCTACCACTCGAGCGTCAAATACCTTTCTTAAAACTTGCTATTCAAGAAAGGATCACTGAAGAAGAAAATGCTCGATTGCGTCTTGCTGAGTTAGAAGCACTTGACGAAAAGAGGCTAGAAGCCCAACAAAACCTTGAATGTTATCAAGCTCGTCTATCTTGTGCTTTCAATAAGAAGGTTCGCTTGAGATGCTTCCAAGTTTGAGACCAAGTTCTCGCGATAAGAAAACCCATCATTACTTCGCACAAGTCTGGGGGAAAATTTACCTCAAAGTGGGACGGACCATATGTCGTACAAGAAGCATATTCACATGGTGCTTACAAGCTTGTTGATGCAGATGGCGTAAGGATCGGTCCTATTAATGCAAAATTCCTAAAGAGGTACTATTACTGAAGTAAAGATGATGCTCCTTAAGGTATGAGCCTAAAATGCATGTCACTCCTGGCCCACAAGAGTATAAACTGTGTACGGCACAACAACAACAAAAAAACAAAAAAAATTACTCAATCCCCCAGACCTACGTTGTGACTTGATCCTCTTTACCGAGGTACGTAGGCGCTTAGAATATATCCTAAGTTCAGTTGCATGAGTGTCAAAAAACCACATATTCCCACTTAATCTGTCACATGAAAGTCAAAGCAATAAGTATTTTATTTTATCTTGTCTCATCAAACTTTAGACTTGCACGAAGTATTGATTGGTCAATAGATGGGGGCAAACCCTTAAAATAATATGAGTTTCGTTAACAACATGCTTGAAGTCTTCAAATCTTTCAAGTATACAAGCTGAAGTCTTCAAATCTTCCAAGTATACAGGCTAAAGTCTTCAAGTCTTCCAAGTATGCAAGTTGAAGTCTTCAAATCCTCCAAGTATGCAAGCTGAAGTCTTCAAATCTTCCAAAGTATGCAAGTTGAAGTCTTTAAATCCTCCAAGTAAACAAGTTGAAGTCTTCAAATCCTCTAAGTATGCAAATTAAAGTCCTCCAAGTCTGCAAGTTGAGGTCCTCAAATTCTTTAATTCTGCAAGTTGAAGTCTTCAAATTCTTTAAGTCTGCAAGTTGAAATCTTCAAGTTTGCATCTTCAAAGTCCTCTAAGTCTGCAAGTTGAGGTCTTCAAATTCTTTAATTCTGGAAGTTGAAGTCTTCAAATTCCTCAAGTCTGTAAGTTGAAGTCTTCAAGTCTTCAAGTTGAAATGTTTAAGTCTAGAAGTTGAAGTCTTCAAATTCTTTAAGTCTGCAAGTTGAAGTCTTCAAATTCTTTTTAAGTCTGCAAGTTGAAGTCTTCAAATTCTTCAAGTCTGCAAGTTGAGGTTTTCAAATTCTTTAATTCTGCAAGTTGAAGTCTTCAAATTCTTCAAGCCTTCAAGTTGAAGTCTGCAAGTTGAAATCTTTAAGTCTTCAAGTTGAAATCTTTAAGTCTTCAAGTTGAAATCTTTAAGTCTGCAAGTTGAAGTCTTCAAATTCTTCAAGTTTGCAAGTTGAAGTCTTCAAATTCTTCAAGTCTGCAAGTTGAAGTCTTCAAATTCTTCAAGTCTGCAAGTTGAAGTCTTCAAATTCTTCAAGTCTGCAAGTTGAAGTTTTCAAATTCTTCAAGTCTGCAAGTTGAAGTCTTCAAATTCTTCAAGTCTTCAAGTTGAGGTCTTCAAATTCTTTAATTCTGCAATTTGAAGTCTTCAAATTCTTCAGGTCTGCAAGTTGAAGTCTTCAAGTCTGCAAGTTGAAATCTTTAAGTCTACAAGTTAAAGTCTTCAATTTAAGTCCTCAAGTTGAAATCTTTAAGTGTACAAGTTGAAGTCTTCAAATTTTTTAAGTATGCAAGCTAAAGAAGTCTTCAAATTCTTTAAGTCTGCAAGTTGAAGTCTTCAAATTCTTTAAGTCTGCAAGTTGAAGTCTTCGAATTCTTCAAGTCTGCAAGTTGAGGTCTCCAAATTCTTCAAGTCTGGAAGTTGAGGTCTTCAAATTCTTTAAGTCTGCAAGTTGAAGTCTTCAAATTATTCAAGTCTGAAAGTTGAAATTTTCAAGTCTTGACACCATAAATTACCTTTATTAGGGCGGAGATTTATATCTATCCGCTTTCGCCTTAACAATACCATAAATTACCTTTCTTAGGGCGGGGATTTATATATATCCGCTTTCGCCTTAAGAATACCATAAATTACCTTTCTTAGGACGGAGATTTGTATCTATCCGCTTTCGCCTTAAGAATACCATAAATTACCTTTCTTGGGGCGGGGATGTTTATCTATCCACTTTCGCCTTAAGAATACCATAAATTACCTTTCTTAGGGCGGGGATTTATATCTATCCATTTTCGCCTTAAAAATACCATAAATAACCTTTCTTAGTGCGGGGATTTGTATCTATCCGCTTTCGCCTTAAGAATACCATAACCTTTCTTAGGGTGGGAATTTTTATCTATCCGCTTTCGCCTTAAGAATACCATAAATTACCTTTCTTTGGGAGGGGATTTGTATCTATCCGCTTTCGTCTTAAGAATACCATAAATTACCTTTCTTGGGACAAGGATGTTTATCTATCCACTTTCGCTTTAAGAATACCATAAATTACCTTTCTTAGGGCGGGGATTTATATCTATCCGCTTTCACCTTAAGAATACCATAAATAACCTTTCTTAGGGCGGGGATTTGTATCTATCCGCTTTCGCCTTAAGAATACCATAACCTTCCTTAGAGCGGGGATTTATATCTATCCGTTTTCGCCTTAAGAATACCATAAATTACCTTTTTTAGGGTGTGGATTTGTATCTATCCGCCTTCGCCTTAAGAATACCACAAATTACCTTTCTTGGGGAGGGGATTTGTATCTATCCGCTTTTGCTTTAAGAATACCATAAATTACCTTTCTTAGGGCGGGGATTTATATCTATTCACTTTTGCCTTAAGAATACCATAAATAACCTTTCTTAGGGCGGAGATTTGTATCTATCCGCTTTCGCCTTAAGAATATCATAAATTACCTTTCTTGGGGAGGGGATTTATATCTATCCGCTTTCGCCTTAAGAATACCATAAATTACCTTTCTTAGGGCGGGGATTTGTATCTATCCGCTTTCGCCTTAAGAATACTATAAATAACCTTTCTTAAGGCGGGGATTTGTATCTATCCGCTTTCGCCTTAAGAATACCATAACCTTTCTTAGGGCGGGATTTATATCTATCCGCTTTCGCCTTAAGAATACCATAAATAACCTTTCTTAGGGCGGGGATTTGTATCTATCCACTTTCGCCTTAAGAATACCATAACCTTTCTTAGGACGGGGATTTATATCTATCCGCTTTCGCCTTAAGAATACCATAAATTACCTTTCTTAGGGAGGGAATTTGTATATATCCGTTTTCGCCTTAAGAATACCATAAATTACCTTTCTTGGGGAGGGGATTTGTATCTATCCGTTTTTGCCTTAAGAATACCATAAATTACCTTTTGTAGGACGAGGATTTATATCTATCCGCTTTCGCCTTAAGAATACCATAAATAACCTTTCTTAGGGCGGGGATCTGTATCTATCCGCTTTCGCCTTAAGAATACCATAACCTTTCTTAGGGCGGGGATTTATATCTATCCGCTTTCGCCTTAAGAATATCAGATGTATGACAGAATTTAAAGTTAACTTCAAAAAATCAACTAGAAAGATTCTGAAGGTATTAAATCTTGAATTTCGAATATGTTGTAGACGTTTGTGTCTAGATTCTAAATAATCAAGTAACTTGTGATTTCGTTGTTCTTACATCAAGACACAAGAGTTTTAGTAAAGCCACACAAATCTGAAATTTTCAGTATGACAGAATTTAAAGTTAACTTCAAAAAATCATCTCGAAAGATTTTGAAGGCATTAAATTTTGAATTTTGGATATGTTGTATACCTTGTGTCTAGATTCGAAATAATCAAGCGGCTTGTGATTTCGTCGTTCCTACATCAAGACACGAGAGATTTAGTAAAGCCGCACAACCCTGAAATTTTCAGCATGGCAGAATCTAGAGCTAACTTCAAAAAATCATCTAAAAAGATTCGG